AAACTAATTAAGAATAACCAACATTCAGCCTTTTGAAGATTATAGCTTAACCTTACCTGTCGAATTGAAATTTCAGGTGGTCAATTGAGGCGGGTCGCGTTTGGTGTGACCGTGCCGCCGTGGACGCAGCCTGAGGGAGAAAATGTGGAGGTAACTGGTGAGGCGTGGCCGCGTGAGATATGAAGAAAATATTATCTGGGCGTAGTGATTGTGAGGGTGATTAATCTATTCTCCCTGCGGGTCGTTTGTTTCCTAGATAGGATCGGATTAACATTGAATTATAAGACTTCAGGATAAAATTTAGGCTCCAATCACATTCACCACTCATATATCTCTTCTAGTAGTAAAATTTTCCGAACCTATGTGTCAATTTTTTTCACGTGGTTTGAAATAATCATGTAAATTAACTGAAATTACTTTAATATCCTTAGTGCCCATTTGGTTTACATTTTTGTATGAGTTTGATACCAGAAACCTTAGAGTGTGATTGGATATAAACTTGATTAGTAAGTATAAACATGTTTAGTTGACTCATGATACATTCTAAAAACAACTCATTTGTCCTTGATTTTCGAAGCTCTTCCCTCAATTTCAAAGCCCCCGACAGAAAAAAATCCTAAAAATTATACGAAAGAGATTTAATCGAAATGAAAGTACACCTCGAATCTTTCGAAACTTTTTATGATTGGTAAACGTTTGAAATTTTGCCTAATTGTGGTATAATTTATGGTAAGTAGGCGTTCGAAGTAGCAAGGCACAGGGCATCAGTCACTCAAATTAGGTTGATGTCCTATATTTCCTGTTACACCAATTTTTTGAATAATCGATATGACAAAAAAAATTCAAATCGCTTTCCCATTAACTAGAAGCCTATTTTTTTGTCTTATGACATCGACTGTATGAAACTGAAATCGAAACCAATGTAAGAAGTTTGGTTTTTTCAAAAGCTAATGAAAAAGTTAATTTTTATCCGAGGTAAAAAAGTATTTTTTTCTACTAAATAAATAAGGAAAACAAAAGTATACATTGTTATTACCAATTTTTATTACATGGACGTGTTATTTATGAGTTCTCAAAAGAATTTGATCATGTTTTCAAAATTGAGAATTCACTACTCCAATATGGCATACCGTGAATTGAACTCTAATTTCTTTAACCAAATTACACAAAACATTTGGCCCTACTAAGTTCATGGAGAATGCATGAACAATTTCATGAAACTTGGATTGACACATAACTAACACGCAAAGCAATCTGATGATACAAAATCAAGGGTTACAACATTAAACATACATATATAAAATTAGCTGCTTATACATTACTTATTTAACATAATATGAGTCCTCTTGCTCTAGTTTTCGCGTTTTTTCTCGTTATTTCAAGGGCAACTGCGTGTAATTGCGCGGATTGTAGGGACATTTTCATCAATTTCAGCCAATGCGCGGTGTTTGTTGAGGGTCTTACCGACAATCCTTCTCCTTTTTGCTGCCAGAAAGTCGCTATTCTAAACTCAATCGCCAAGCAAGAGAAAGGTGGGGCCCGAAGAATATGTGAATGCATTGAGCAATTTCGCAAGTTCAATGGCAACCTTAAGTACGACGAGTCTCACATTGAACAACTCCCGGTCAAGTGCAGAACGAGCTTGAGTTTCCCCATCTCGGAAAATATGAACTGCTCTAAGTATATATATATGTGAACTACTTTTATTTTATAGCTCAGCTAGTGTGTGTCAATTTTTCTATTTTTATTTTTATTTATTTATTTATTTTCATGCAGGATCAAGTGAAATTAAATTCAAGATGCACCCCATCGAGTTCATCATTTATCGTGCTTTATGAAATTACTGAAGAAAGGCGACTATGTAAAAGTCAATATATGAAGAATGACCATTATATGTAATCTTCATTATGAAAAATTGATAGTGATATATACAAGATAGTTAAAAAATATTTCTACATAAAATTGCTGAATATTTTTGTCCATGGTGAAAGTTTGACTAGCTAGGTACAGTAGAAAAATATTGAACGCACACGGCAGCAATAATATCAATACGGCAGCAATAACATCAATGTTGCAAGGTCATATAGGTCGGAGTTATGAACATACTGGAAAACGTGTGATGTATGTTTATACCATATAATTAATGTTTACCAAATTATGTACATTGTATATTCTACTTCAAATCTCACGCGATATATGGATAAATAATATTAAATAAATTTATAATACAAAATGAAAATTATTTTTAAAATTTTTATGTTCGGTAAAAATAACAATTTTAAGTGAAAAATTAGTTTTTATTTAAGGTAAATCCTTAAACTTTGTATATAATAATAGATTTTGCAATTATGCAAACATATTCAAGTTATAAGAAAAAAAATGAATTAAGATCGATTTAAAATGATTTTTTTAATTTGTATCACAACTAATTGATTGCACAACCACAATAAATAAAAAATATTTATGTGACAAATTTGTCAACATTATACATTTTGTTCATATGATAAATGAGACAATTCGTACATGTTTTTTAGGTTTAGTAATAGTAATTTGAAGGAAGAAAAGTCTTCAAAACAAAGGAAAGTCAAAAGGTCATCTTCACAATTTCAAATCGCGTTCAGTCAACACTGTTTATAAATCCCACAGTAAAACCTTGTCCCAAATTATTACACAACACATTTGCTTCGATAAGACGGTAGAAAAATTCAATCCCTATTCATATCTGCTTGTCTTTGTAATAAATACAAATTAATTCAGCACGATCGATCAGCTTCTGGGTTCGAAGATTTACGCAAAGCGAGAGTCATGACAGGTGGAAGAGAGATTCTTAACAAGATGAAGGTTATTTCATCCTTTTTCTTCTGCTTCTTTCGTTTTTTCAGACAATTTCATGTGTGAATCAGATTTGGTTGCAGGGCAACTCCCCAAATAGTTCTTTTTCTTCTTGGCTATTCATTTATACCGCTAATTTTTTATTTTTGAATTGATAAAATTGGAGTTTTGAATAGCTAGATCCTTGAGTATAATGGGGTTATCAGGGTTTTGCTCAAGAAGCGAGTATCTGTAAGAGAAGATGGTTCAAAGTGGTTAACTTGAGTAAAGATTGTAACTTGTGTCGGGGGTCAATCAGTTTGAGACATTCAAACATGATATTTCTATCTTCTGAAAATAAGCAGCTGATTTTTAGGTTGAGTTACATTTACTATAACAGGGTTTGATTCATGAAGTGTTTTGCATACACCATAAAGTTATTCGCAACTTTTAGCGAAAAAATATCACATTTTCGTGTTTGCGAATACCAACTTATACTGCATTTAATCAAAATTCTAAGTAGGGGGAGAGGTGTTTTAAAATTTGATGGTGCTTCTAGTATAAATTTTGCAGTGTAGGCGTTTTAGCCATTTTCAGAGCTTTTATTTGCCAAATTTGGATCCTAAAATCTTATCTTCTGTTTGCGAACATTCTCTAGGTTTGGCCGATTTGCCACTAAAACAATGCTTGGTTGAATCTAAAACATTTTATAGCATTTTGAGAATGTTGGGGTGTTGAGCCATTGATTCTCTTTTTCCCCCTCAAAATAGTTTTGCAATTGTCTTCTGATGGAGTGCATATTTTGATGCATGTGTTAGCCAGTATCTCATTACAAACTTCATAGAAGCAGGCAAGCTTTTCTATTGAAATTCGGAGGTTTGATAATGGCACAACTCTAGTTGGTATTTGCCCGCGAAACAAATCATTTTGCCATTCCAATTTTTGTGCTTACAATCTTGCCTTTCGATTTCTAATCAAATCGGCTAAAAAGTATAGGTATGAAATCCAGTTTTGTCTCCTGCATTTTCCTTTTTTCTATTACTAATAGTTGTTAGATCGTTTTAATATTACTTTCACTTAAATAAAAAAATTTAGTTTCGACGTTTCGAACGCGTCCCTGGAAAGTTGTTGAGTACTTTCTTCTCTCATTGTCATTTCTTCAAAGGGAGCAGTTGCCGTCTTTTTCTACATTTTCCCTTGGAAAGAGGGAATATAATATTTTTCTTCACTTTCCCCTGACTCTAGGGAATATACTATGAGATAGTTTTTAGGACTAATATACAATTTTGCGGACCAGATATGGTATTACATGGACCACATTTAGTGGATTCTGGATAATGATGTTGTTATCGATTTTCATTGGAGGTATAAAGAATCTTGAATACGTTACCAAATAAAATCTGTAGGCTCGTGAAAATTGATTGGTCAACTATTAGTTCGTTTACTTGTCTTTCGTTCCATGGTCAATAGTTGAAACTCGTTCGTCATTGGCTAGGATTAAATAGTGATGTTGTGCTGAAGTAAGCACCTAGGCTAGACACTTATCTATACGCTGCCAATAATCTCTTTCTCTCTTTTTCTTTTTTTTTGTTTGCGTTATGCGAATTCCTATTGGTACCACAATAAAGGCTTGTTTTGTAAGGTTCTGGTATTGAACAGCAAGTTACATGTGAGCTAAACTTATGGTTAAAACATTTATCATCGCATAATTGGAAATTGGAGTTTAGACTTGATGTGAAAGCTAAGCATTTATGTGTATGCAAATTGTTAATGAATTTGATTATGATTCTCATTTTTGTAAAAAAATATAGGAAAAGGCGTGTTTTTCCACTCCAGTCACACCCGATGCTAAAAAAGGCAAAGCCAAACTCTCGAAGCGGATTACACATGGCTCCCACCTCGTGAAAGGAAAAGCAAATCATGCCATGGAAGATTGTTTGGTTTCTGAATTTAAGATTTTGGGCGACAATGAGTTGGGTCTTTTTGCAATATTTGATGGGCATATGGGGCACGATGTTGCAAGATACTTGCAAGACCATTTGTTTGACAATATTCTGAAGCAGGTTATGACACTTTCTTTCTCATTTCCTATATAATGTTAATAAGTAGGGATAATTACATGAGTGTACCCGAAATTTAGGCCCTGATTGGTTATAAATTATCTTTGGTCAGATAATTTTTGTAACTCAAAATCTAACTCAAATTTGTCTCAACCCAGCCCTCATCAATATTATCAATATAATTAAATAATACAAATCAATTATCCTCACATATCACATCAACTTTAAGGACCTATTCTTCCAGTCAACTACTCATCACTTCCAATCACATTTCTCCTATTTTTACATCAAATCAACTTTAATTATTACATTTTAAATATTATTTTAGTATAAAGTCAAAATCCGAATCAAAACTAATCAAATCTGAAATAACTTATATTTAGTCACCCCTAGTGAATTTATTATTGCCAAGTTACGAAGGAACGCTTGAGGTTTGATTTGCTCTTAGAATTTCTCCCTACTTTTCTAAAAAAGGGGATAAAAAACTTCCCTTATATAGAATACAGTTGTTAAGACATAATAAAAACCCAGTGTCTCTTTGTAATTTTGGAGTTTCCTTGTCTCCTTGTAATTATCAGAAGGCAAGGTTAGTTTTTTGTAATTTCCCCTAATACGTATGAAATATCTAACAAAACCCAACAATTTTGTTACATAATATTTTTACATGATTCATACACGATACATCAATAAATTGATCATTCTGCATCAACAGAATGAATTTTGGTCCGACACAAAGGCTGCGCTAAAAAATGCGTATGAGGCTACAGACAAGGAAATATTAGAGCAATCGTTCCACTTAGGGAAAGGTGGGTCGACAGCTGTCACTGCAATATTGATCAATGGCCACACGCTCGTGGTTGCAAATGTCGGGGACTCTCGAGCTGTTATATCTAGGAAAGGTGTTGCCAAACAACTGTCTGTTGATCATGAGCCAAGCAAGGAAAAGAAGTTGATCGAGAGCAAAGGTGGATTTGTATCTAACATTCCAGGTAATCATCTTTTGGTTTTGGTAATTTCAACTGAATCGAGGTTTTTGCCTACATGGATAATTTCTGGTTTGCTCATATCAATAGCAACTTGAACTCCATTGCTTGTCTTATTAACTGTAAGTGCGGTATTTGGTTTGAATTTTCCAGAATTCTTTAAATTTTTATTCATTATTTTCCATGTTCCTTTATGTATCTCCATGGAAGCCTTTGAGGATCTTCTGCTTTGAACTTTTTGAAATTCGTTGAAGTAGTATTTAACTCCAGATTCGTTTGGTATAATTACAAAATATACCCCTGAGGTGAGACTATTTACACAGAAGATGTGATATTTAAAATTAAAATTGAAAATACCATTAAGAGGTGAGACCATTAAGTGGGTAATAACTCTAACGTTTCTACTTCTGGGTGATGGGAAGGGGTTATTGATGATTTTTTTTACTTGTGATGAGGAAAATGTATCATAAAACCGAAACACGGAAGGATTTATTTCTATTTTCAAAATTTCTGGGTTCCTTTACTCATATATCAAAACCTGATGGATGATTATTGTATGTATCCTTGTTGTTTTCTGAATTGTGTATGTATCGTGATTCTGCTGTCCAAAGTATATATTGTTCTAATGTAAACCTTCAAATTTCTTACATGATTCATTCACTGAAGGTGATGTCCCTAGAGTCGATGGCCAGCTGGCAGTTGCCAGGGCATTTGGTGACAAGAGCTTGAAGAGACATCTTAGTTCCGAGCCTGATATTGCAGTTGAGACAATAGATGATGATGTTGAGCTCGTCATTTTAGCTAGCGATGGCTTGTGGAAGGTCAGATATTCGTCCCTCGAATCTTACCACACATTTTATCATAATATATATTTGCGCTGTCCATAATCCATCATTTTATGTCCTAAATCCTGAGGATTGTGCTTAGCTGATGTTATTAATTAATAGCCTTTGGATAGTTACGGTCCTTGACTTTAGTGTACTTAACCCACGTACACCGAAATGTAAAAAAAGGCAAAAAAGGTAAAAACAAAAGAAAAGAAAAGGAATGAAGGCTAAGATGTTACTTTCAAAGTTTGAGTTCTTCCTTTCCTTGAGATATTACTAATCCTTCCTGAGGTTTGTGTTGTCTCACAACAAATTACCCTATTGGTAGGTGCAATATTGTTAAATAGAAGCTTATTAGGAGGTATATGTGATTTTAAAAGATAACTGTATCTTTTTGTAATTTAACCGGAACTCGTGTATCTTTATTGCTGCCTTGGCCACATTTCTGAAATTTTTTCATGCAGATAGCAAATTTTTACTGGGAAATTAGACCAAGAAAATGTACCTTTTTTTTTATAATTGACATCCTTCCTCATTTATTTATTACTTAATTTATATAATTATTCTTGTCGAACCTCGTTCATAGGTCATGTCCAACCAGGAAGCTGTGGACTCGATAAAAAACATTAAGGACTCACACTCGGCAGCAAAGCATCTTATCGACGAGGCTGTTTCTAGGAAAAGCAAGGATGACATTTCGTGCATTGTTGTGAGGTTTCATTAAAATCACATTTTTATTATTGTGCTTTGCTTTGTTTAAGGTTTTCTTTTGATGGAATCAATCAAGAAGATGCAAGGAGAGGTGTCGGTTCGTGTAAATTGCCGATAAGTTTGTATAATTGTTCGTAGTCCGGATGTTGCGCGGCGAATAATAAGCCATGTATATAAGAAGATTGTGTTTTGAGGTGTTACCCTTTCATATATACTTGGCCATTGACCTGAATTATGGCCTCATTTTCTCCAAAAATGTTCAGCTTTTAGTGAAATCCTTGGATTGTTGATAACTTATCAGGGCAAACTTGAGAGATGAAATGAGGGGGGGGAAAAATGGCTTGTTTAATGCATCAATGCTTCTTATTTTAATTTGGTAGCATTTCTAAATTTGGTAGCATTTCTAGCTGCAAAAACCTCATATTGAAGTTTTAGATCAGCCTATTCTCACATGCCACTCTCAATATCTATACTTATATAAAATGCTATATTTACTAGAATTAGTAGGAAGAAAAGTCAACTCATAATTAATTGTACACTATATTTATAAAGTTTTAGATATTTTAAATCATAAAATAGGGTACCATTGAATGTCCCTAAAATTATGAGTTTTGTTGAATTCATTTTTGAAAATTTCGATAGATATTGAAGTGAATATGAAATTTAAATCTCTTCTCATTTTATTTTTAATAAAATATGTATCCAAATTTACGTGTGGTTTTGAATTGAAAATTTGTAATTCAAAATCTCTTCTCATTTTAGTTACAAGAAAATCAGTCTGCATTCAACACTTGAACCAATTTAAAAATTATTCCTTAAATGAAGGAATTTATAGATAATTGTTATATCTACTCAATCACATGATTATTTTTAATATAAAAAGAGACAGATTACAAATTAGTGAATCATATATTACCTAATTCAATATTTTAACATTAAAGAATAAATTCATAGTATTATGTAAATCCGTTTCTCATATTATTATATCATTAAGAATATGTTATAGTTATATTATCAAATCATAAAAAGATTTTAAATTCATATTGTAAAAAAAAAAAAAAAATCATATAATTTTATAACAGTTCTACTACATTATAGTATTTCTTTTTTATTATATAATAAAATAATAATTAAATATTATATAGTGAACAACAATAAGTAAAACTGCTACTTTCTCTTATATCAAGAGATAAATTTATATGCTAAAATTAATTTTTTATTAGTATAAAAGTTTTAGTGGGATAATATATTAATTATTTTACAAGCTAGTCCTAACATGCTCATATTTAATATTCTGGCTGAAAAAGCACGCTAGTTAAACGAAGTGGAAAAAAAACTTATAATAACCCTATTGTTTTTTAGACTTAACGTTGATTAAAAGAGGTAGAAAATAGATAATAACCCTATTATTTTTTAGACTTAAACAAACAAGTGAGTGAAAATAACTCATCTAATATCTTTGTCTCGTGCATCGCTCGGGTTACATACTAGGGTTACATACTAGTATATATATAACATAGACTATGAGTAGTTCATTCCCCATTCTGAAACATACCTAATCTCAGTTTGGTATTGCTTTAAACAAATATGAGGACCAACCATAATTTTACCTTTGTAATTGATTTTCTATCACTAGGTCACATAAATATGTCAATATCATGTCAATTTAATCGAGACATACATATTAACATCTGTTCATCATGAACATAGATTGATTTTTCGCAACCATCATAAACATAAGGAATTGATTTGATTTTCAAATATAATCAAATATGATTTCACTCCGGATTGGTAAACATTTGATTCCCGATTTTCATGAATATTTATCCGAGTCATTTTTACCCGGACAAAATGGTATCACAAATTTCACCTTTAATTAATGTATGATAATTTATCTATAATTCTACATTTTATTTATAAGTACAATTTTAATATTACTTTCGAGTTTAATAGCTAGAGTATGTAGAATATTAATTAAATGAAAAACTGGGAAGATATTAGGTATAAGTTTATATAAATATTGTCAAACTTAACAATTAGAATATACATATATAAAATTTATTAAGTAAAAAATTGGAAATTCAATATGTACAAGTTTATACATATAGTCAAACTTAAGTATGCATTAATAAATGAAGGGCCGACACCCTTGACATGAGGTCAAGGGTTCAAGCTCCCGAAGAGCAATGGTGGAACAATTAATACTGAGGACTACAAGCGGTAGTGTGGGAGGCTGAAACTCGGTGGGAACCAACGGCTAGATAGGTGGGGCCAGCATGAAGTTGGGGGTCAGCGAGCAATCACTTCGGTGGGAACCAACGGCTGGATAGGTGGGGCCAACTTGGAGCTGGAAGGCCAGCGAGCAATCACTTTAGGATCGACTCCTTGTGCGCGGTAGTTGAAGGTATATACCTGGGAGCCATTGTGTAGCTACCGCGGTTTAACTGGAGGCAATTTCTGAGGAGCCGGGGGTTGTTTCCTCGAGAACTAGTTAGACGCAAGCCTGAAACCTCGGTATAAAAAAAATAATAATAATAAAATAAAATAAATGAAAGGCCGATCAGTAAAATATTAATTTGATTCATTTATTTTTTTATAATTTTTAGTTAAAATAAGATTTTTTAAATTTTAAAAAAATTATATTAAATTAATATTGTTCTTTCACGTGTCAAAATTGAATATCTGTACAACAATGTCAACGAGGAATGGACCGAATGATTTCAGTCGTGTCTTGGTACACTTATTTTCACCTATTTTTACGACACATTTGACATTGAGTAAGGCGACAAAATTTCGCTAACTTCCACCATGCAAAATGTATCGGATTTTAAAACATAAATAACATTCTTTAATTAAATTATTATTATTATTATTTATATTTAGAAATTACTATATTAATTATTAAAATATTTTAACTAAAAGTTTAAAACTTTAATGATAACATTTTATTCCATCTTATCATGCTAATATATAATTTTTTTTATATATATATTTCATGCTAATAGCATATCTTTTCTTTTATATTTGATTTATGCTAATAGTATAATTTATCTACTATATATAATCCTTTATTCTATATTTCATTCTCTCATTTGATATATTCTACGTACAATGCCAATACCATAGTTTATATGTGATAAATCCTTTATTTTATATTTCATCTTAGCCTCGATGCTAATATCATAATTTATCTTATACCCCAGTTCATCTACTAAAACTATCTAAATCAATAATTAATACAATAAACTCATCTCCTACACAAATCTAAACCAATTTCATATCAATTAAATCTTTTTTTTTTAAAAAAAAAAAAATACATTCGAGATGTTGAATGATACTACAAGCATCATAACAAAGTTTGTTTCAACCTCTATTGCAATTAAACAAAAAACAAAGTTTGTTTTTTTAGTATCCAAGTGTGAATATGTACAGCGTATTTCATGAAACAACTTGTTTGTCTTTTTACGTTTTAACAGTCTTATGTCCATTATTTGATTTAAGCATCGTAATATTTCAATTTTTTAAGAATATTTGATAAGCATCATAAGTTAATTTAATTTATTGTTGTAATTATATTTACCGGAGTAGAATCAAAAGATTCTAACACCGGGTCGTGTTCTTAAGGAAGGTTAGCCGGACTAAATCGTACGTTTATTCAATGCACAAAAACGAAAATAACCCTAAACATTCTAATCAAATTTGTCGGTTGTGATTAACAACTACTAATTCTTGAAATTAAGCTATTTAAATATCGCAACTCACAAATGAAGTACAAGAATATATAAACGAGCTAGGGTGTCGGGGATAATCGCTTCCGGTTCTACACACATCTAACGGCAATCAACAACTCGGTTAAAAGGCTCGACATCATTTAGCAGTTTAAACTCAATAACTCTTCGTAACATGCGAATAAACATAAACGAGCGAATCAACGAAACAATTAACACATAGACAATACGTCTCCGAACATATATGCCTACTCTCAATGAGCCGAGTTCCACCGATTTCTCCCCTCTCGGTAATCGATTAACTAGGTTAAAATAGTGATCAAACATCTAACCCTAAGATTAATCAAACTCATAAAGAATTGAGCTATCAACATGCATATAAACGAGAACGAACCGGACGATTATCCCCTAGCCCCTAGCAAATGGATTAGCCACTCATTGTCATTTCAAGACAAGCATTCACATCAATTAAAGCCATCATTTTCATCACAAACACAATGAAAGAGAAGAGAATTTACTATTAATGTGCAATCCAATGTCAAAAGCAAATACAAACCAAGTCCAAATGCCAAAAGTCTCCAAATATTTCTTGTTCAAAACATGAAGAACCCAAGAAAAACCAAGAGAAAAACTAAGAGAATGGAAGAAGAATCAAGAGAATGAGGAAGAATGGTCTTCTAGGGGGTGAAAAAACTTCGTTTACAAGGCAGATGGTCGGTCAAACATGCTCCACTCACGAGCACTTCCCTCCAGCATTCAGCAAAATCGAGAAAATCCCACTTCTGAAAAACAGGGTCTAGCGGCGCTAGGGGGGTGTTAGCGGCGCTAGCCCTCACCTAGCGGCGCTAGGGTATAGATGGTCGCAGCTGCAGAAGCCCGCTAGGGCTGGTAGCGCCGCTAGTTGCCGTCCCATAGCGGTGCTAAGGGACCCTAGCGGCGCTGGGGCCTGGACAGCACCAAAAAAATTCCCTTTCCTCTTGTTTGATCTCGACTGGCACTTCTCGGGTTCTGCCCGAGCTGAAACTCGACCCCCGAGTGTTTGGTCGCACGGAACGGCATAGAACTCCTCGGAACCGGAACGGAATCGTCAAAAACCTGTAACCACCACAACTGGAAAAACACGAAAAACAAGAAATATAGGAAGAAAAATAACAAAAATAACAAATACACCAAAATAACAATGAAAATACAAGAAACGACTAAAGGGACCGGAAAATCCTAAGAAACGACCTAAAACAGAGGAAAAGACCAACAAAATACTAACAAAAATAACAACAAAAATGGAACAAACACTTATGATGAGTGTATTTAACTAGTCGTAATATTTTCATTTTTTTAGAATGTTGGTAAGGATCATACGTAAGTTTAGCTTCTAAGTTTTGACATTTAAATAATTAGTTTGGCGTAGTGAGATGAATTTTTTAAAAAAATGTAGAGTTTATCTCATAAGCTACATTATGTAATTTTTTTATTTTTAAATGCTTGTCTAAATTTTTATCCAACTAGTTTATCAACTACTAGTGCATAGCCCGTGCGATGCACGGGTAAACAATATGACTTTCATAGCATGTAATCTTGTATTATCACACGTGCAAAAAAAAATCTACATCTTAAGTTCATATTTTATGTTTTTAATGAAATAAAATCCTTCATTTTAGATCATATGTATTTAATCTGTCCAAATTTATCTACATATCGACAAATGTCCAAATTTATCTACATATCGATAATTTAAATTTTGAATTTGAAGATAACCCGAATCTATGATTGCAAAATATCGTTTAATAAATAAATCAGCCGCAACTTTAGGATTTGGTATTTTGAAACCTAGAAAAAAATAAAATCATTAATTTAGGGGGAGTTATGTGATAGATCTATCTAAATATTGTATACATCACGTTTTACAATTAAAGCAATTTAAATATAGAGATTAAGATATTTTGAATCTCTGATTTAAACAAAGACCATAAAAAATTTGATTTGGTATTTTGAAATTCTTTTAAAAAAATCATTAATTTAGAGGATGATATGTGATAAATCTATCTAAATCTTGTATACATCACGTTTTACAATTAAAGCAATTTAAATATGGAGATCATTCTTATTTCAAATCTTTGATTTATACAAAGACCATAAAAATTTTGATCGTTTCAAAATTAGACCCGTGTATTATTTTTCTTTATAAATAATTGTCAAACAAAACAATTGAATAGCCGCAACTTTATTCTTTTAATTGAAACTGCCCGATTTAATGGTTAGAAAAAATATTTTCAAAAGAAATAAACAAATAATTTTTTTAATTTTACCCTTAAATTTGCCGTAATTTTGTTTAAATAAAATTTGTTAATCAAAACATATGTATTAGTCGATTTTATAGAAAAAAAAAAGTTTCCGATATTTTGAAAATACAAAAGCATATTTTTATGGTTAGAAAAAATAACACATAAGTTTTTTTATTATTAAATCAGTCGTAATTTTTTTATTAAAAAAAACTGTCAAGCAAAGCAATTGTATTAGCCGAATATCTAGTTTTAAATTTGGAGAATATAATTAGCCGATGTTTAATTGAATTAGCAGTCGTGACGTACATTTTTATTTAGATTTAAAAATATCTTATTGTAACCAATAACCAAATTTAATTGATGTTGCCCGTCCATTATCAGTTTTTGATATGCACATCGTGTCAAACCATCGCAAATATTCGATAGATCGAATTTAAATAGCAGCCCACTTTTTTGAAAATAAAAAAATAACAAACTCTTCTTTTTAAGGACAACATTTAATGTTGTTCATTTTTTAGTAAAAAAATATTGAAAATATAATATAAATAGCATGTAATTAATGTTGATCAGTTTTGACCAAAGATTGACTTACTATTTCTTATAAATGTTAATTCTTATTATATATATATATAGATTTTTATCAAAAACTTATCATTTTAGTTAGATTTTAATCCATCTCCTATCAATTATAAACTTAATATTTACTTATAAACTATTAACTAACTTACTAACTAGATTTACCAAGAATATGGAGTTTGCTTTTTATTAGCACAATGTCCTAGTCATAACATTTTAATGCCTATAAAATTATTTTATTAATTTAAAATTTTGTCATACTATAATCATATTGATCACAGAAGTTTAAACATCAAATTAGTATTTTATCTCAAAGTTTCTTTCGTAAAAATTAACTACAAAAGTTATCATCGGGAAAATGAACATAAATCCTAAAAGACACATCCATCCTTGAAAAGAGAACATAAATTGTCCATTTTTACTGTCTTCCTAATCATTAAGATTGCAGTTTACTTTCCTTTCTCTTTTTGACTTTTTCCTCCTATTTTTTGGGCTCAATTTTTATTTTTATATGTTTTTCTAATCACCAGTTAGAAATTGTGTATGTTTGTTGTATGGATAGTTGGAATATCCACTATATATTACACATAAATGCTAGGACTTCATTATTTATGAATTATTTTATTCTCATTTATTTCATACTCAAAATCTAATTCAACTTTAATTTAATTCTACTATTTTTAATATTATTCATATAATTAAATAATACAAACCAATCATTCTTACACATCACATTAACTTCAATTCACTATTTATCCACTCACATAATTTTAACTACCAATCATTTATCTCTTACTTTTACATCAAGTTAAATTTAATTATTTTATTTTAAATATTATTATAATACATTCTTAAAATTCCACTAACAACTGACCATACCACATTTTTTAAAATTGACAATGGTTAACCAAACTAATTCATTTTGAACAAAATAAAAGTGGAGAAGAAAATATAAAAGTGGAGAAGAAAATATAAACCCAATGAGAGCGGGATTGATTAATTAAATTAGTAATTAATTGTGTTAGTAATTTTACTCTGCCTAATCTATATATGAATACACACGCAACACACCTTCCTTAACATAAAAAGCACCCATGTACAAAATAAACCTCATATAGCTCACCATCCTAACAAACTGATTAGCCCCAAAAGTTACCAGAACCTAAATATAAATTCAAAAATAAATAATAAAAGAAAAAGATGGGGGGTAAAACGGGGAAGAAAAACCCATGTGTGCATGCAAAGATAGCAGCCTGTTGAGGCGCCACGTACCCCTCTTAGCATGCAAACACCCCAAATAACTTCCCGCCACGCACCTCCTCACCCATCCTGCAATACTATCCTCGTCACCACTCACCTCACCCAATATAAAACCCTAACTCCGTCTTCCTCTTTCTCCTCACACCAATATATGCTCCCAAAAAATAAAAATAAAAAATGATGAGTAGCGTTTGCGCCGATAAGCAACAGAAGTTGCACCAGCTCTACCACCACCACCACAACCTCACCAAAAAGCCCTCTCCCCTCCGCGACCTCGACATCCCTCCCCGCAAGCTCCGCCACCACGACCACCACGACCCCGACGGCGCCGCCGCCGCCGCCGCCGCCTTCTCCAAGTTCCTCCCCGCCGCCGGCTCCGGCTCCGACTCCGACGACTCGGACGATGACCCCTACTCGTCTGACCACTTCCGTATGTTCGAGTTCAAGGTCCGCAAGTGCAGCCGCAGCCGCAGCCACGACTGGACCGACTGCCCCTTCGCCCACCCCGGCGAGAAGGCCCGCCGCCGCGACCCCCGCCGCTTCCGCTACTCCGGCACCGTCTGCCCCGACTTCCGCAAGGGCACCTGCCCACGCGCCGACTCCTGCGAGTTCTCCCACGGCGTCTTCGAGTGCTGGCTCCACCCTTCCCGCTACCGGACAGAAGCCTGCAAGGACGGCAAGAACTGCAAGCGTAAAGTCTGCTTCTTCGCCCACTCTTCCCGCCAACTCCGCATAGTTCCGGCAGATCTCGAATCCGACGACTCGCCCACCAGAACATCCTCCGACAACAACCACTGCTGCCCCTTGTGCCACTCCGTGGCCGCCGCCGCCGTGGCTGCGGCGGCAGCAGCCGCCGCCTCCCCGAACTCCACCCTCATCCCCCACGCCTCGCCGCCGCCGTCCCCGCCGGCGACCTTCTCGCCGGAGATCTCCCGCTTCCACGGGCTCGAGGGGATGAGGTACAAGGAGGCGCTGGCAGAGGTCATGGCCGCGTTCGAGGCCATGAATCCGGCGGCGGCCGACCTTCCTCCGCCGGCCTCCGGCGGCTTGCCGTGGCTGGATGTGAACTTCGATCAGGAGCAGTCGCAGTTCGCGATGTCGCCGGGTTCGGGTCGGGCCCGTCCCGGTCCTGGCCCGACGAAGTTCTCTTCTTCCTTCGCGGGAAGGAATCTGATGGAGGGCGAGGGTGGTTCGACTTCGGGCGGGCCGGATCTGGATTGGGTGAATGATTTGCTCACTTAATTAATTGGAAGTATTGAGTTCAGATCTGATTGAGCTATGGATGGACTGTTGCCTATACATACAGAAAGTGAGTATATATAGGCGAAAAGAAGGGTGGGCTACTTTTGTGATTATTTTGCTGCAGATTGTTGTTTTCCCTTGTTTTATATCTGTTTTTCGATTTGAGTATTGTGGTGTTGATTATTATGAATGTTATGTTAGTAAGTCCTTAATAATTGATGTTGATCAGCTTGGAAGATTTGTGCTGATAATCTATGTTGTAGTTCGAGTTGTGTCTGTAATATATTGTTGTATTTGGTCTAATGTTGTTGGGTTAATTATCAAGAAATTTGTGTTAATGGTTTGGCTTTTTGATTATTATGCACTTTAATTTGAGGATTATCTTCTTTAGGGCTTTCTTATTATTTTTTTTAAGATTATATACCGATGATTGTCAATCATATCTTCATTCCACTTTATGTTTCATATTGTACCCATGAAAATGAAAATCAATGAGAAGATAAATCATGAGTCGCTAAATTGAAGGCTTCCTATATAAATCAGTACTCCATCTGTTCTAAAATACTCGTCTTTCTGGCTTAAAAGAACAAAATTACGTATTTGAAGGAATTGGTTAGCTTATCATGCTATTAATTTTTTCTAAATCTCCTAATGTATTTAAAATACCTTTTTAATGGTTTCTCTTTCCTTATCACTTTTATAGTTATACACGGAGCATTTAAAATAAACAACCATGAAGTGAAACTACATAATTTTACACTTTTATAGTTATACATGGAGCATTTAAAATAAACAACCATGAAGTGAAACTACATAATTTTAGGATTTGAGGAGTACTTATCCAACCAACTAGTACTAACTTCTACATAATTTTAGGATTTGAGGAGTACTTATCCAACCAACTAGTACTAACCCGTGAGAGAGATATTAAATGAATTATTTTAACAGGCTCTATCTGTTTAAGTCTGAAAAGGGTTATTATTCATTTTCCACCTATTTTAATCACCGTTAAGTCTTGTTTAAGTCTGAAAAGAGGTATCATCTATTTTTCACCTCTTTTAATCACCGTTAAGTCTAAAAAAATAGGGTTGTAATATATTTTTTTCACATCTTTTAATCAGCGTTGTTTTATTAGTCAGAACATTAAACGTCACCGTTAAGTCTAAAAAAATAATAGGATTGTAATATATTTTTCACATCTTTTAATCAGCGTTGTTTTATTAGTCAGAACATTAAACGTGAGCATGTTAGGGCTAACTTGTAAAATAATTAATATATTATCTCACTAACACATTTATACTAATATAAATTTAATTTTATTATATATATTTATTCCTTGATAGAAGAAAAAATAACAATTTTACTTATTCTTATTCACTATATAATAGTTAATTATTAAACTCTGTTGCCATATAATGTCATTATTATTTATAAAGTTATACAAGTTGCACGTCTTCTTGTTCTTTTTATTTTATGTAATGAAATATATTTAATGCACGTTGGTATTATTTATATAAGTAATCAATTTAAAATATGTAAATAAATTTAAAATTACATAGTGTATAAATAATGTACAAAATATACACATATAATATTTTAGAATTTAATTTTGTATAGTAATTAAAAAATTTTGATTTAAGAAAAGTCATTAAACTCAGTCTCTTCTAATATCAATATTTTTCTAATTTTCATTGTAATGATTATTCTTATTATATATATAGATTAGAATTTTTACGACACCAACCAAACTAAATATCACAACAACCAAGTAACAATTATGAAAAAACCCATAACACAACATCAATAAATTTGGTAATAAAAAATTTCCATACATATATATAAAAATATGAGGATTCTATATTTCTATTAACTGATGTATACACCACGTGTATATTTTGTTAAGGTATATTGGAATGTTCAATTTCATAGCATGATAACAATCAATCTTAAAAAACGAAAATCTTATTGAAATGTCAATATTTTTCTGTTAAAAAAAAAGTTTCCATAAAAAACAATTATATCATAGAAAATTCATTGTGTGATTGAACAAATTTCTATAATGAAGCCCGATTTTATGTAAAAAATTAAGCAACAACTTTCACATTTTAAGGAAATCAATTAATGTTGGTCCGTTTTTGCTAAGAAAATAATAAATAAATAAATTGTAATTAATGGAAAGTATTTAATGATGAGAGAATTTGACCATATCTGTTTTTAAAAATCGTAATAGAAAAACAAATACTCCCTCCTATTTTTATTATTTGTCATCCTAACTTAATTGATCATTTGTTAAATAAATGTCGTTTGAGCTATTTTGTACATATTTTTCCATCATAACCTCATCTAACTAATAAATACACTACGTCTTTTCATATTCACTCTTCATCTTTTCTCAAAACATCAATCTCTATCCTCATTAATGAGGGTTATTATTGGCAAAAAAAATTTTTAATATTGTGCAACTTCGCAAAACGACATTTATTAAAAATAAGAGTGAGTATTAAATAAAATTGTATAATACAGAAATAGTAATGATAATAAATGCTATTGACTTTTCTAGCTACTAAATTTGGTAAATAGGACTTCCTTTAATATAAGTATAGATTAGTTTATAGTTATCTAAAACAACAATTAATAAGTAAAAAAAATTACACATTTGAACGACATTTATGTTAAAACGGAGGAAGTAGTATTTTGTTTTTAGGGTTTCCATATATAATATTTTTATTATTTATCATCTTTCCTTCGTGTGGGAGAGACGATGATGCAAAACAAAGCAGATTGAAATGTGGAAGGACCATATATAATATAATTGTTGATGTGAAAATCTAGGTTCCATTTAATTGATAATATCCGAAAGTGGACTTGGTAAATGGTCTTAAGCCCATATGGATGATAATTATGAGTATAGGGATTTACAAAAAATTTAAGTACCAAACTGTCTTGGTGTTATTTTCACGGTATTACCTTCTCAAGCAGGAACATATAATTAACCAGCTAAGTTTTACAATTAATGTCAATATATATTCTCACATGGACGTATGTTGTGTGCAAATATGATTACTTATCAAATTCTCCAAACATAATTTAATTCCTTCATAAATCTATATATGGAGCTCGTACTTTATGAGTTATCCATGAATGATATATCGTTCCTACTGTGAATGATTTCTTACCCGCCAGAGAAATTAATAATCATTAGTACACGCATCTATATATGTGATCGATGTTCGGGTGATTGCAGATGATTGCGGATGACTACTAGGTATTATTGATTGATTCCACAATAAAATCATTTGTCACTAAGTTTTAGCACAAATGTTTCCGCAAATTTTGTTAGTAGCTCTGTGGATAATTATGGATAACTCTATATACAAAGTGTTGTTCATTGGTCTATTGTCGAAAAAGTAAGAATAGCTCTTTACGGTCCATTGGTCAACAAAAATATGATATCTAACCGACAGCTTAATAAAGCACTATCAAATTCTAATCAGTTTTTCCGGTCACTTTTAATTTTTTTTCCCATTAATTTTTACAAGAAACAAAAGCTTATAATTATCAAAATTTGTACATTAACTTATTAAATTTCTCTTGAAAGAAAAATAATTAGTAAGGGATCAATGTACATCATTAAATGTTCCATTATTAATATTCATTAGCTTTCACGGTGAAAATCTTCAATGTGTATCCGTCTTGTTTCATTTTAAGAAAGTAGAACCGGGTTGAGTAGCTTGATAAGAAAGTGGAGATCTAATTTCTTAGTTGATACTATAATATATTTTCTTATTTTTACTTATAATCATACGATAAATCCCAAAAATTAAACTAAAACTAAATATAAATGAAATGGCTTCATGGTAGGGAATTAAAATTAAATTAACATGATCACAGTTGATAAAAATAGAATCATTAGCTGTGAAATACATTTCCACTCTTAAAAATTTTCTTCACCGTGAAGCAAATTTGAGAATAAGTGCATAGAAGATAACGCCACAAGGCGTCGACGTAGCTGCTTGCAAGTGGGGGACACGTGGCCAACATGCAGAATAGAAGGGGTGATGGGCAGTGGATCGGTACTCCATTTTGTCCTTTATTTTCTGTTTATCCGAAAAGCAAAAGTTCGTGAGATAGATCGTACAGTACTTATTAGTTGCTTGTGGCTGTGTGACAAATTGATTTTAACAAATTTGTTAGTTTCGTGGGCTTTATTTTGTGTCCATTCTTGACTTTTTCTTTTTTTCTTTGAAGTTTTTTTAGATTAAAATTACTATAAAAATATGTCTTAAGTTCTATCAATAAAATGAGGAAAAAAATCACATATATTTATGGGACTCAACCTACCTGCTTACGCCACTTGAGCTAGACATGATTCACTAAAAGTAACAGAATATTAATTTCACCTATTGCTATTATGTAATGTAACATATGGGTAAATATTTCTGGGACTCATAATTTCTATCTTATGACTGGTGGACTATGCTGAAATGGCCCATCAGTCTTTTAATGACCCATGAACCCTGTTGTGTCTGAAGGCCCACTAAGTACCAACATATAACAAGTATTTGGGTCAATCATTAGATAAAAAATTTCTCAACAATTTATCCATAGAAAGAATGTAAAGGGATCGTAAAGCCCCTCCTTCCTTTCTCCTTTTTAAATGTGAGTATGGGCTTGTGTAGGCCCGTTAAAATAAAATTCATCAATCTACAAACTTGGGCCTATATGGTCAAACAAAGGATATAGACATCAGATGGTATGTATTATTACCCCATCTTCACTTGCTCCTTCGACTTCTGGGTCAAAGTGAAGTTTTTATCCAAGCTCCAAAAGAAAGAATCTAATAAATTTCAATAAAAAAATAAAAATTTGCACCCAATATGGTGAAAAGAATCGATTAAAAATATGATAATAACTCACAATAATTTTCAAGAAAAGTATATATATGGTTCAAGATTGGATCGACGGTGAAGGTCCGATTACTATAAACCGATTGTTCTAAG